ACACCGACCGTAACGATGCCGAGAATTAAGGTGAGATTTTTGGTTTTTATTTATTGTTTTTATTATTATTGTTTTTATTATTATTATTGTTTTTAATATGATCGTTATTGTTTTTATTATTTATTATTATTATTTGTTTATTATTATGAGTTGTAGGCGTTCACGACTGGTTCGGTGCCGTCATTTAGCGATGTGATTCTGAATTTTGCATCGAGCGAAGTATCGGACGATAATATTATTGACCGAATGAGGGAGAGGGATTTGAAGTGGGTTTATTTTGTTTGTTTGTTTTTATGTTTGTTTATTTATGATAGTAATAGTAATAAATAGTAATAGATTAATGGAATATATTTATTGATATTAAGGATTTTGTTTTGTGGCGATGACACGTGGTTACGTTTGTATCCGGATCGGTTTTTGGATGATTCGGAAGGGACGGTGTCGTTTTATGTTAATGATTACACTGAGGTTTGTATTGTGTATGTAGTTTATTGTTATTTTATTATTTATTATTATTTATTATTATTATTGTTATTGTTATTATTATTATTATTCGAGTAGTTAAGGTAGATGATAACGTGACACGTTGTATGGCGAGGAAATTAAATAAGGAGAATTTGGAGGAGTGGGATGTAATGATATTGCATTATCTGGGATTGGATCATATTGGTAGGTGGTTTTTTTTTATTTGTTTGTGAGAATTATATTATGGTTTTGTTTGTTAAAAGTTTAGAAATAATTTGAGGGCATTCACTGGGCGGTGAGGATGGAATGCTGGAAGTGAAGTTGGTGGAGATGGATGTGGTGATCGAGAGGATTTATTCGACGTTATCGCAGGTTTTGTGGTGATTTTTATTGTTATTATTGTTGTTATAATTATTGTTATTGTTATTATTGTTATTTTATTATGATCACAATCGAATTTTGTTAATATTATGGGTGTCAGTTAAGAGGTTAATGAAAAAAAGCCGTTGAAAAATTCAAAAATTAGATGTTCGGTAGCTGTATCTCACTTAATTTTTTAATAATGTTGGTCTTTTACAACGAAATAATAACGTTGTTGTGTACAAGGTCTTAGGCTTAGTATTGTTTCGTGTACATGGAATATAATAGGGATTATAAAGGTGTGTGTCTTGCGGATGTTAAAAGTTTACTAGATTTGAGGGTGTAAGCGGAAGGTTATGGATGGTGGTGACTGGAGATCATGGAATGACAGAGGCCGGCAGCCATGGGGGATCGACTCGGAGAGAGACTTTCGTGCCGATGGTGCTGATTGGAGGGGATGGAACCTTAAAAGAATCAGACATTTCAAGTGGAATATCGCAGAAAGTGACTAAATCAAGTTAGAATTTGATTATTTGGGAATATTTTTGGGAGTTTTTTAAAATTTTTGGGAATTTTAAATTTCAGTTAGAGAAGTGGAACAAGTGGATATGTGTACAACGTTGGCGTATATGCTGGATTTGGGCATTCCGACGGGTAGTTTGGGAATGAATTTGGTGCCGAGAGTGGCTGGAGGGAGGCGGGGTTCGGGACGGTTATCAGTTGGTGATAAGGGTGATAAGGATGGTGATAACGATATCAGAATGGAGGTGATTATGGCGATGGTTCANATCAGTTGGTGATAAGGGTGATAAGGATGGTGATAACAACATCAGAATGGAGGTGATTATGGCGATGGTTCAGGACGCTTTCCATCTGAGTGCATTCCCGTCGGAATATAGCGGTTAGTGAGGTTATTTTTCGGGTTTTTTGGGGTTCTGATTTTGGTAAAGCGGTTTTTTGATTTATTTTTGGTTCGGGTGGTTATTTGCTGGGTATTTAAAGTGATTTTTCACTGTGTTTTAGGTTTTTTTCAAACCATCGTTGGTGAAATTTAGCTGCGGTAATGAGAATTTTTTTGTGTTTTAGATGATTTAATGTGGTGTGTGGAACGTGGTGTGCAGATGGTACGTGAGGGGTTTTGCTTGGATGGTGCGAATGGGGAATATGGTGGGATGGAGTATGGGGAATTTTTTGAAAAGTGTGAAATGATAATGGATAGTGCGCAAAGCCAACTGCTGAAGAGTCAGACCTCGTTTAATATGACGCTGATTTTGGGTGGTGTTTTGGGATCGGTTTTGGTACGTTTTATTTTTGTTATTTGATACGGGTACTTAGTGGTACTCTACGGGTAATTACGGGTACTGTACGGGTAATGTACGGGTACTTACTGGTACTTACTGGTACTGCACGGGTAATGTACTGATAAGTTACAGGTGAATATAATGATAATAATGTTTATGATCGTTAAGGTAACAATTCTAACGATATTAATTGTGGTGAAGCATTGGCAGATTATAAATTCAATTAATAATATTAATAATTGGAGTGTATTGAAGAAATTAATTTGTTTGTTATTGGTTGTTGAATTTGGTATATTTTTTGGATCGAGTTTGATTGAAGAGGAACACGACGTGCAGTGAGTTTTATTGTTGTGATTTTGTTTATTTTATTAGTGTTATCATTTGATTTGATTAGCGATCAGGAAATGGGTATGTTAGATGTTGTGAGTTGGTTTGGATGGATTTGAATTGAGTTGTGAGTCGTTATTTTTTATTATTTATTTCGTTTCGATTGTGTCGGGGAGTGTTTTGGAGAGGGTAATGGATAAATTGAGAGATTTGGAAGGGAATTTTCGAATGCGGAATATGGGAATGTTATGAAAAGTTGGGATTTTTTTGAAAAATTTGTAAAAATTTTTGATTTTTTAGGTACTTTTTGCTGACAACGTCTTTATTTGTGATGGCTGCGAATGAATTACGGTTTATTTTGGTGGATTGTTTGAACGATTCGAAAGAATGGAATGGTGGATTTTTGGTTTGTAATGCATCGAAATGGGTGTGGATTAAAAGAAGGAGGTTGATAATGGTAATTGGGTTGTTGGTATTGCATCGATTGGGACGAACGTTCACGGAGGGTACGAGAAGGAGGTGGTTATTGGAGAGAGCGGAGGGGGGTGCGGATGGAGGTTGGTTGGCCTGATTTTTTTGATTTTTTTTGGAGGGGGGATTGACATAAAATTTTCTCAAGCTTTCCGAAATATTTGGGAAAAAATCGTGGAAATTTTTAAGTGTTTAAAAAGTATTTTGGAGAATGATTTTGGCATTTGATGTGAAGGTTTTGAAAAGTATTTTTTATTTGGTGATATTTTTTAAAGTTCAGATTTGAAATGGATGATTTATTCGCACGTAACGAGTTTGGGATCGACGTTTTGGCCAGATGTAACGCAGATTTTGTGGGTTTTTGGCTTGATTTGTTGTTGTTTTTTGAGTGATTGCAATTATAATTCATTAGAAATTTTAAAAATTTTCAGAAGAAATTCCACTCGGCTGAATTTCTGCGCGAATTTACTGGCGTATTTGGTGATAATTTCGTTTGTTGTGTACGGATCGAAGGGGAATGCCGGAAAAGGGAAAGGGGATTTGAGAAGCCGGGAAGAGATTATTGGTATTGGACGCGAAGATCGTAGGAAATTGCCAATATCTGTGGGCATATTGGGTGTGTCGTTCGCCCTGGTGTTGTGGCTTAATTTCGCGAGAGGGTTGGGTGGATGCGGTGCAGAGGGTGGTGATGGAATGTGGTGAGTGCGTGTTTTGTTTATTGGATTGGTTTATTTTAGTGTGGGGGGAAGTAGTGTGAGGCGAATGGTGTGATGTGTCTGGTTTGGATGGAGTTAATTTGAAATTGTGCTTGATATGGTATTATTTTGTAAGGTATATTTATGACCGATTGAATGTTTTTAGAAGAATATTTTTGGTATTATTTACCTTTTTTATGGTATATTTGTGACCGATTGAATGTTTGCATAAGAATATTTTTGGTATTATTTATCCATTTTATGGTATATTTATGACCGATTGAATGTTTTTATAGGAATATTTCTGGTGCTATTTGCCCA